AGAGGAGAATGGAAGCCAAATTGTGTACAAGCCACATGAAGGGGTTTTGAGTTTTTCCTTGGGCAGTGGGAAGTGGCTGAATGTTGTAAGAGGAGAGATAGAATCAGGCGTGCACTTTGGGAGATCTCTGATTTGCATATGGAAAATAGATTGGGAAAGACCTCGAGTGGAAACAGGCTGGTGAGGAAGGTTTCAAAAAACATCTGGATCAAAACAGAGGGAAGCACCTAGAACCAACGCATACTTAAGGTAGGAACGATAGACATGCAGATGGGATGGAGGTGGACAGAAAAGGTGAAGATGGGCTCTGTGAGTGACAGGCGGTCCCCCGAGGCTCATGGGATGAATCGTGTCATCAAATTCATATGTCAAATTCCTCACTCAAAATACCTCAGGATGTCTGGCGGTGGTGGCGCAGGCCTTTAATCCCAGCACTTGGGAGGCAGAGGCAAGTGGATCTCTTTGAGTTCGAGGCAAGCCTGGTCTACAAGAGCTAGTTCCAGGACAGGCTTCAAAGCTACAGAGAAACCTTGTCTCAAAATAATAAATAAATAAAAAGCCTCAGGTAGTGACCTTATTTTGAAATAGGGATTATACAGGGGTTACTAAGCGAAAACAATGTTGTTATTATTATTAATATTAATATTTTAATGTGATTTGCCATCCACATGCTCGTGTGAAAGGGCTTTGCAGCAAAAGCGTATCTTGGCAATTGGAGACAAGAAATGCCCCAGAAATCACACCACACAACAGATCTCATGAAAGAGATTTAGTGTATGAAGAAGGTGGGATGAGGAACACACAAAAGGCTACCTCTGAGTGGGGATGGAAAATAGAGAGAGAGAGACCAAGTCACGATGGCAGGTTTATATAGGGGGTATGGAGCATGTGCCCAGGAAGCATACACCTCAGCGGTGACAATGTGTCTGTCGCAGCAGTGATGACAGGACCAGGCGGTTGGTGCTGAGCCACTGAAGGCTGAGAGGAACCTGGTTCTGGAATGTCGGGGGTTCTTAGTTGACTAGCATCATGTATTTGAATACTTTGTCCCAGCTTTTGACCCTGTTTGGAGAAGGTGGCTGATTCAGGACACTAGAGACAGGCCTTGAAGGTAACAGCTCAGCCCTGCTTCTGGGTCACACATTGAGCTGTAATAGGACACCAGCCTTGCTGCTTGGGGCTATCATCCTTGAAACCATGCGCCAAAGTAAATAGTTCCTCCCTGAAGCTACTTCTGCCATGTACTCTGCCACAGCAACGAGGAAAATGGCTAACACCAGTGGCTATTTGTCCATTTACAACTGATGTCTTGATATAAGGGAAAACCTCGGGCCAAAGAGGAGCACTGTATGATGACGAAGGCAAAGACTAAGTGATGGTCTGTGCATATCTGTGCACCAGGGAATACCAAAGATTCAAGCAAGCCACCAGTAATTAAGGAAGATGCTAGAACAGACCACGCCATTCTTCAGAAGGAATCCACTCTGCTGAGTCGGAAACCTCTGGCTTCAAATTCCTAGGACTTCAAGGCTTTTTTTTTCGTTTAATTGTAGGTTAATTTTTAAGGTATATTTCCTGAAACAACCAATGTACTCGATGAAGCAATGTGCACTTTGAACAGCTCTCATGGGTTTTAGATCATAATATTACAAACATGTTTTAGCTTAAATCTTCCAGGGCTCCCGTTCCACTTTCTTTCAATTGCGTATTTCCCTGCTAAGATTCATTTCCATAATTCTGCATTCTTGCTTTTAAAACCATAATCCCACTTTCTGCATTTTTATTTTTTTTAAATTTATTTACTTAAAAAAAAATACCTTTTCTCATTTTGCATACCAATCCTAGTTCCCACTCACTGCTCCCCTTCTCCTGCTCCTTTCATCCCCCCACCCCCCACCCCCATCCACTCCTCAGAGAGAGCGAGTCTTCCCATGAGAAGTCATCATTGTGAGGCAGGACCAAGGCCCTCCCCACTATATCTAGGCTGAGCAAGGTATCCCTTCAAAGAGAATGGGCTCAGAGAGGGAGAGCAAGGAAAGAGATGTCTTGATTGAGGGCGCCATTATGGGGCTAGCGTGAAACCTGGCACTAGGGCAATTCCCAAAAATCCACAAGGATGACCCCAGCTAAGACCCTAAGTAATAGTGGACAGGGTGCCCGAACTGGCCATGCCCTGTAATCAGATTGATAGTGACTACCTTAATTGTCATCATAGGACCTTCATCCAGCAACTGATGGAAGCAGATGCAGAGATTCACAGCTAGCGTTAGGCTGAGCTCCCAAAGTCCAGTCAAAGAGAGGGAGGAGTGAGAATATGAGCAAAGGGGTTAAGGCTGTGAGAGGGAAACCCACTGGAACAGCTTATTTGAGCTAAGAGAGCTCACTGACTCCAGACGGACAGTGGGGGAACTAGAATAGGACCACACTAGGCCCTCTGAATGTGGGAGATAGTTCTGTGACTGGGGCAGACTGCGGGGAGACTGGCAGTGGGGCCAGGATTTATCCCTAGTGCTTGAACTGGCTTTTTGAAGCCCGTTCACTTTGGAGGGATACCTTGTTCCCTAAGGCTGCCCACTTTTATTGTTGGAATCATTCCATTGGTGACCATTCATTTGAGCAGCCCCTCAGACTGGCCGGGGTACTGCCATCTTTTGAACTGGCAGAAGTGAAAAAGTCTCTCTCTCTTTTTATCAGGTAGGATATCAGTACTTAGAATGGAACATTATCAAATGTTTATTGAATCAATAACTAAGGGGCATAGTCCTTAGACACTGAAAATTAATAATAGCATAGAAGAGTTATCTTTTTTTTTTTTTTTTTTTTTTTTTTTTTTTGATTTTCAAGACAGGGTTTCTCCGCAGTTTTTGGTTCCTGTCCAGGAACTAGCTCTTCTAGACCAGGCTGGCCTCGAACTCACAGAGATCCACCTGCCTCTGCCTCCAGAGTGCTGGGATTAAAGGCCCGGTTTAGGAGACTTATCTTAAAGAATATTTGGACTAGTGATTTCCAGGACATTTTTACAAGCTAAACATTTTGTTTAAAAAAAAAAAAAAAAGCAAAGAAACCAACAAAAACAAAGAACCTTGCAAAGGAGCTGGAGAGATGGCTCAGTGGGTAAAAGCACCAGTTGTTTTTCTAGAAAACTGAGATGCAGTTTTTAGCACCTACATGGAGGCTAGTCATCTGTAACTTCAGTTCCCAAGGATCTGATCCCCTCTTCTGGCCTTCTTCAGTATTGCATGCACATGGCACATAATCATACATGCACACAAAACGCTCATGTACATAAAATAAAAATAAAATCTCTAAAAAAGAGGCAAAACAATAATCTTAAACTAAAGGGATTATAAGCCTATTTTTAAAAAGGAAAGAAAGAAAGAGACAAAAGGGACCACTGTGTAAGATGGCATACTATAAGCCGTGTTCGAATGAGTGGCTGATCAGTTTTGAAAACAAAAAGAACAACAATATTTTACCAGTCCATCAGATAATTCTCCAGCACCTGAGTCAATGTGATCAACACCTCAACAAAAATCCTCTATCAGATTGACTCAACCCGCAAGGACAGACTGGAGATGAAAGCTGGTTCCTGGAACACCATTTTAACATGTCCACAACTGTGCTCCAGCCAGTCTCTCGGAACACTGCAAACACACCCACTAAGAGAACAATAACAGAAATCTTAATCATCCATCCTACTGTAAAAACAGAAGTCACAGGAGCAACCGAGACATCTTGTCTCCTGCAAAAATTATCAACCTCATAGTAATGACCCCTGAGCAAAATGACTTAGACAAAACTTCAGATGCAAGAATTCAAAAGGCAGATTATAAATAGTGAAAAACAACTCAAAAGGGCCCAAATGTTTTTTTTCCAAGAGAACAGAGACAGCTGAAGGAGATAAGAAGTCATTCCATGATGTGAAAATACAATTTAATAGAGACATAGAAATGAGGAAGGCGATCTAAACTTATGGTCTGCCCTTTGACCTGCTGTGATTTTCTTTGTCTTTGTCCACCCAGTGAAGAAAGAAACTTCTCTGCTGAGGCCTGAGGGCTGCAGCTGTCTGCAGCCTCACAGATGGAAATTCACAAGGCAGCTTGATACCAAGTGCATTTAAGAAAACTAAGTAAGTGTCTGCAATCATCCACAATGAGACACCTACACCAAACCCTCTACCCAACAATGCTAAGGGACAGTCCCAGAAGCAAAGGTAGAAAGAGGGTAAGAGTCATCCAGAAAGGACCAGATAGAAAAACGGTGTCTTTTAGATACGGTAAAATCTGCTGCACTCAGGAACTGATGTCAGTTCTAATGGTCGGCACGCACAGGATCAAGCCAGCTAATATTTAAGGATGGAGTGGGACCCATTCATGAACCCCACCCATAGCTGTGGAGCTATTTACAATTGAAGGCTTCTGTAGGAGGAAGACTCGGGTTTCTTTTAAGTGTATGATTCTGGTAGGTCAACCACGTTCCAACGGATGGCCCTCAGCATGAGTATATGAGTATGTTGATACGGACAGCACAGTGTTGAATCAATTGTACAGACAAATGAAAAGATAGATGGATAGATAGATACTCTACAAAATTGTGAGGGGGTGGGGGTGGATCTGTGAGTACTTAGGGGAAAGAGCTGAAGGTAACTATGATCAAAATACATTGTATAGCCGGGCGATGGTGGCACACGCCTTTAATCCCAGCACTCGGGGAAAAAAAATACATTGTATATGCATGCATGAAATTCTCAAAACTCTTTTTTTTTTTTTTTTTTGTTTGTTTTCGAGACAGGGTTTCTCTGTGGCTTTGGAGCCTGTCCTGGAACTAGCTCTGTAGACCAGACTGGTCTCGAACTCACAGAGATCCGCCTGCCTCTGCCTCCCGAGTGCTGGGATTAAAGGCGTGTGCCACCACCGCCCGGCTCAAAACTCTTAATAAAGATATTATATAAAAAGTTTCCTTTTTATTGAAAACAGATTTTTTTTCCTCACAGTGTTCACCCTGATTTCAGTTTTCCTTCCTTTTACTCCTCCCAGCTCCTTCCCACCTTCCCTCTCATGCAGAACCACCTCCTTTAAGTCTCTCACTAGAAAACAAACAGGCCTCTAGAGGGTTACAATGTATCTTTGTATAAAGATACAAACAGAACTAACACATTGGAATTGGACAAAACACATCAACAGGAGGAAAAGAGCCCAAGAGATGGCACAAGAAAAAGAAATTCACTCATTCCCATACTCGGGAATCTCATAAAAACACTAAACTAAGACATTGTGTGTGTGTGTGTGATATGTATGCACATGTGCACACACACAAAGGACCTGTGGGGTAAAAAGAAAGAAGAAAAGTACATAAATAAAACAAAATTAAAACTAAAATGATAAGACAAAATGAAGAAAAAGATCTAGGACACAACATTATGATACAAAGAATCTCCAAAGATGCCGTTGAGTTCATATGTTGTTGGCCATCTACTTACTGCTGGGCATTCAGCCTACTCTTAAGAGTGGTTTATTTGCCCAGTGGTTATCAGGTTGAGCTAAGTTGTGGAATATCATTTTAAGATGTATTACGTTTGTTGATGCTGTGGAACATCCATTTTATTGATGCAAAGATGCATTGTGTTCTATTATGTCGCATTTGTTTAACTCTGTAAAGCTGTGTTACTTTGCCTGCCTAAAACACCTGGTTGGCCTAATAGAGAGCTAAATGGCCAATAGCAAAGCAGGAGAAAGGATAGGCAGGGCTGGGTGGCAAAGAGAATAAATAGGAGAAATCTGGGAGAGGAGGAAGATCAAGATAGAGGAACAAGAGGACAAGGAGAGGAGGACACTAGGGGCCAGTCACCCAGCAACACAGTCAGCCACAGAGTAGGAGTGAAAGTAAGATTACAGAAGAGAGAAAAGAGAAAAGCCCAGAGGCAAAATGCAGATGAAATCATTTAAATTAAGGAAAGCTGGCTAGACTCAAGCCAAGCTAAGACCAGGTGTTTATAAGTAGTAATAAGCCTCTGTGTGAGATTTATTTGGGAGCTGGGTGGCAGGCACCCTAAAGACCTAAGAGCTAAAGAGTTAAAGAAACAAGTAACAACAGAGCTAGCTGCTGGCTTAGGGATGGAGACGTGTATCCACTTCTTTCAGCTCAGGGACACCCAACTGGTACAAACCCTTGCAGGCCCTGAGCGTAGTTCTTGTTGATTTAGAGGGCCTTGTTTCCTTGGTTTCCTCCCTCCTGTCTGGCTTTTGCACCGTTTCCACCTCCTCTCTGATGAGTTCCCTCAGCCCTGAGGGGAGGAAATTAGCGGAGACTTTCTGCTTCCAAGGTCTCTCACTCTGTGTATATTGCCTGGCAGCGGGTCTCTGTATTTGGTCCTATCTGCTGCAGGAGGAAGCTTTTCTGATGGTGGGTGAGCAAGACATTAATCTGTTTCATTGGTTTGCACCAAGATTATATTTTAAAACAGGTACTGATCATGTGAATTGAATTGTTGTGAGAGATTCACTGGCTGGAAACAAACGCAAGAAAAAAAAATACAAGAAAATTCCTCAAGTGAAGAATCAAAGTTTAAAAGAACTGTTTGAATATTTACACTCAAATAACTTTTACTGGTTTTTTTTTTGTTGTTGTTGTTGTTGTTAGGTTTTAGAAAGAGAGTCTAACTACGTGCCCGGACTGGACTTGAACTTGCAGTCTTCCTGTCTGAGCCTTCTGACTCTTGAGATTACAAGTATGTGATAGTTGACAAAAAAAAAAAATAATTTTTTAAAAACATCTCGAAAAACTCACATTAATGCTCATCAATTAGGAATTTCTGAACAATAAGCACAGAAAAATATTCTGTATTTCTAAAGATTCTTCTGTGATATTTTAGTATGACCAAGGATTAAAATCATGGGTGAAGACAAAGCTTTTAAAGTCTTATATGAAGCCAAACAGTAAATCCAGTGTAACAGTAGCACGAAGATGTTCTCCAATGAACTGGACTTTTTAAAATGTCGTAACAGTATTAGCTAGAATACAATAGTGCAGGCATGTGTTTCCCTCAGTCCTCCTCTCCTCTGCCTACAGCCTCCCCATCCCACCCCCGCCCCCAGGGCTCAGTTGCCCCTCCTCATCAGTTTCTAATACCCAGACCGTGCCAGAGGATCTCCACTGAGGGCCCTGGCCGGCCAGAGAGTAAAAGACAGCAAGAAAACAAGGACTCGAAAAGACGCTTTGATAAGGTGGTTTCAAACAGCCAGGACCCATTTTCTGACTCAGTTCCAGGGTACTGTGGTTTCCAGCTATGACTTGCAGATGGGCACGGTTTTACTGTATTTGGGCAGGAAATTTAAAATCATTCAATGCCATATTTCACGGGATGCTGGTGATGACGACGACGATGAAGATGATGATGAGTCAAAGATTTCCCAGGAAGAAGAAAGCAAAAGCAAATTATCATGAAGGTGTCCCGGAGCTCATGATGGCGGGCCCAGACCTTCATGAAGGTGGCCCGGAGCCTCTGAGGAAACACGGGGCACCTGAGTTAGACTAAAATGTTTCATTTCCCCCACATAAGAACATGGTTTTCAGAAGAGCCGTCAGAAAGAGGACTCCACCTCCTTTGGATACATACCTGTTCACAACAGAGTCATACATTAGGAACGCCAGAAACACTGAGCCTCCTCTTCATTAAGCCAAAGTTACCTCCTGCTAGAATATACGGGCCGTGGGTGAAGACAAAACGGTGGAATTTTTTGCAATTAAAACTGTATTCCTTTAGCTGGGGACTCCATTCCTTGTTAAGATGCAATTACTCGGAGAGATTGCAGTGTGTGAAGCTGCGAGGAGCCATTGGAGTCTTGCTGTGACCAAATTTTAAGAGGCTTTGGAAAGGCAGGATTTTTAGGTGAAAGGGGCCACCGAGCAGGAGTTCGGCAGCACACAGAGAGAAGCCCACCCAGCCTCTGCATGGGTCTCGGGGTCTCCTCTGTTACAGCCGGCCTCAGAGGTTTCTAGAAGCTTATTCATTAACATGCAACAATGGCCTCTTTACACTAGCCCAGGTATTGCTTGAGGTTCTCAGGACTTCAGTGAACCAAACAGATAATGAGCTCGGTCTTTAATAGAATGAGAGAGAGAGAAAAACATTTGCACAGTACCGAAAATTATATTAGGCAGCAGCTTAGCAAGTGACAAGTTGTTCTAGAAAAGGGTAAAGCAGAGGCTCCCGAGGTTAGGAGCACCGAGGTAGTAGCAGGAGGCCCCGCTTTCCAAAGAAGCTAGCGGTTGGCGTTTTCAGGGGAGGAACGCAATAAGGACAGCGCGGAGGACGCAATAGGATGCCGCACTGAGCAACTTCAGCACGCTGAAAACTCACATGACCCCTGGGCTAAGAGGGAGCGAAGGAGCTCGTTATCCTTTTCGGATATTTACAGACGTTCCAATAGCGTGACATTATCTCCTTGAGTGTTTGGTGAATACGAGGGAGGTGCTGAGCTTCACAATCAAAGGCAGAGGGAAATGCATCTTTTTGAGCTGTGGCCGACCCTCGCTTCTGCCTGGCCCGCAGACCTGCGCGTGTACAGAGCAAGACTAATTAGCTGGGTGTTTCTCTCATCAGCGTATGGAAATGCTCAAACATTTGAATGAAATATCCTGTTACAGGACAGAAATTAGCATAAATGTTTGGGGTGTTGTGATCTGCCTCACACTGACAGAATAATAGGCCGGAGATAGCACTGACTGTGAACACCATCCCTGTCTAATATGCGGTAGGTCCTTAATCACGGGTTTTGAGCCCCCCCCCATCATTAGCATTCACGGGGTAGAGAAAAGCAATATTTGAAAATGGAAGCTCATTGCCATTGACAAGGGAAAGCCATCACAAGCATCACACAGATGAGGAAGAATTTAAATCAATCTCATTTTGGTAATTCTCTCTGTGGTGACTTTGGCCTTCCGACGGCTCACTCATACACCATAGCTAACAAACCTTGTGTGAGGACAACAGGAACGACGTGCCCGAAGTGCAGACAACCAATGGCGGTCGGCCTTGTGAAGGGAGATCACATACCCTGAGCCCAAGCAGCAAACGTCTCGGGCGGAAGCTTTGTGGGGAAACAGGTAGAGTCTTGCTTAAACTGTCTTGAGTTTGAAGGTTTTAAAGATGCTTATGCTAAAGGTTTCTTATTGTGCTGTTAAGTATCCAATTCTTAGTCCTGTAGGGAAGAAACCCTCTCTAAGTTAGGGCTAGCTAGGTTCTCTCCGTGGCTGCTCCTATGACTCAAACAATGATCTACCTAGAGACTTTGCATTTTGCTTGGGGTGGCAAGATGGTCGCAAGGCAGAATCAGCTCATTGCACCTGGAGTATATACCTTAATGCCAGAGGTAGCCAGCATGGTGGCAGTGCCCAGGGTTGTAGCAGGGGTGGAATAGCTCATCAGCAGGGCCAATGCTTCCTTCGGTACAGCTTGTTCATCTGGGATGTGCTTTGTAAAGTCCGGAAGGTGTCCTGTTCCAGCCCTTGAGTCAGTCTCCCCAGCCGTACCCACAACTGGAAAACTTCCGGATACCCTGTAATAAAATCTCTTTCAGCTCAAGGTACCCAAGGTTGTCTCCATCCTCAATGGAGAACCTTATCTGATTCCATCCATGGGAAACTGGATTGGCTATTCAGCCTCTTCATCTCACGAGAGGAGAAGGTGTCTCATGGAGACTAGGGCATTCTTGAGTTAGCAAGCAACAAGGTTTTCTGAATTAAAGATACAGAAAAGATGATAAGCAATCCGCATGAAATGCAAGTCTCCAGTCAGGGGTAAAACTGCTGCTCAGCCTCAGGAAGGACCTGAATCTCGGAAAGCATTTATTTAGGAAGTGACAGCTGAGATGGTTCCACAGGTAAAGCTGCTCACCATCAAGTCTGAGGACCTGAGTTCAATCCCAGGGAACCACATGGTAGAAGGGGAGACCCGCTTTACCCCAAGTCGTCATCTGGAGTGGTTTTATAATGGGGGTAATAATGAAATAATAGAAAACTGCATGTTTATATTAATGAGTTAAAGATTGGCTTTGAAAAAAAAAAGGATACACAATGCCGTCAATTCATGGAGTCAAAAGGGCGTTGTTGTCCATAAGACATGGTTCTGGAGAGCAATGATAAGGTAAAAGATTAGTGGTGGTCTCTCTGGATTGGATATTTCTAGGTTCTAAGCATCTTGTTCAAAGAATAAAAGAAATACAACCGGCAGAAGAGTAAGGAATGTCATTCATAAGCGAAACGAAAGTACAAGCAGAAGTACTAAGTGTAGCCAGGGTCTCAAGAGCATCAAGCCACCAGCTAGAAGTCTTCTTTTATGAGGTCGAAGAGGCAAAAGAGTAGGGTTGCCAAGGGTTGAAGCCTATCTCTTGCTTGTTTAGGTTGACAGCCTTGTGTTGTATAAACCTTTGCTCATTGTGTATGTTTTTTTCCATGAAGCACCTTATTTTAATAGTATACAAGCTCAATCATACATAGACAGAGGATGATAAAGATGAGCTTTTATTTAAAACTTCATTTTGAGGAACACAATTTTTCTTAATACACATGTACCCCCAATTGAGCCTAGGCTGGATTAGTTCACTGTCCCGAGTTCCTGGCTATGTTCTAGGATGAATTTGATCACAAAATGGGAGTTCCTAGGGGCTGCTATGGAGCTGTAGTTTTGAGTGACAGTAAGCATTTGTTTAAAAAATGGTGTGTATGTATGGCTTGGTGCAGGTGGGGTCTGAAGATTGCTAAGTGTGCTGTTGGGAACGGGATAGATGCGGAGCAAGTCATGTAGCTTCCAGGCTTCTAAGTTGTCTCTACTTTTACCTGCCTCGGATATCGGCGGCTGCCTTGAAGAATACTTAAAAGATTTCTAGGTTACCACATATCAATACCTATTTGTTTTTGTTGGTGGTGGTGGTTTTGCCGGCTTGGGTAATGACCATGTTGTCTCTGGAGGTTCTTCCTCACCGTGCTACACGATGCTTCGTTGGTAAGAATGAAGAGCCCCTGCATGAAGGCACAGGATATCGGAGACGAACTAGCTCAAGTCTCTGAATAGCCTTGCCCAGTTCTGTATAGAATGGAAAGGTCCAAAACAGGAAAATAAATTGGATGGAGAATAAATCTTTTAAAATCTCAGCGACGGCCTCTCCTTCCATCCTGTAAGATGGGAATGCGAGTTAAGGTTTTATGTGAGGTTTTATGGAGCAGTACAATTCATTTTTGTGATGGTGCATTTTATTACTCTTGTGCTTTAGCTGTGTTTGTAGTTGGAGAACCACCCTAGCTATTTTATAATCAATAATTTATGTAGCCTTGCAAAGAGTTGCTTTAAGGTCACCAGCCTACAGAACACTCATAATCGTCTCTCATCGAAAGGCTGGCTTTTAAGTCTCTAAGACTGAATTTAGGATCCAAGGTATTAATAGGCTACTGTCAAGACGAAAAAGAATCACACCAGTTGTTAATTAAATCAAAGAGAAGTGATAACTAGAAAATAATCATGTTAATCATGAATTAAGAGTTAAGTATAGCACCCACAGAGCCTGCTGAAATCCGTATTGTGGCATATAATGGTTGCTGAGTCTTTCAAAGCACCTGCTGCTCACTACCCAGTGGAGGAGCAAACACTGGCTGAGCCAAGATGAGAAGTCCCTGCTCTTGCACCAATGGCAGTGAGGAATGCCATCTGCTCCATTGCTGTCCCAAGGTCATGGACAGTCACTTATTTCATGGGGTCTTGCCATTAGTATTTGGAGTATAGTTAAATTCAATTCCCGCTATGTCAGGGATATGGTGTTGAGTTGAAGAGGTTCTTTCAAACACCAAACAAAGAAATATTTTTAACTACAGGCACTAAAGGAGGTGCCTTTTGCTCTTTATTATATAAAGACTTTCAAGGCAAGACCTGAAACACTTGGGGCAGAAGAACCTGAGAAGGGGAACAAATTCCTTCTGAGAGAACAACAATATCCTTGAGATAAAAATGCAAGGTCCAAGAATTTCAGAACTAGGAACTTAGACATTATCTATTTCAACTGTCTTGTGTTCTAGAAAGAAAAGCAGCTGTATAGGGATAGTAAGGGGGACTCTCCACATCAGAGGTGGACTAGAATCTAGTCTCCTGATTTTCCACTGTTTTTCTTTTTTGGAAAGATACCTCCTGGTGCTGGGAGTTCAGGACTTGCTTCTTTGGTTGCCGCACAAGGCTACCCCTTTGCCATTTTGAACTGTGGACAAATTGTATCCATCATCACTGCCCATGTGGCATGTCCTTTAGCATGACATACAAATGCCAGCATGCAGCAAGGGGCAGTAGCTGAATAACGCACCAGCCCAGCGTATGACGTGAGCATTCCATGACTTCACGGCAACTTGTTTCTCTCTTCAGCAAACGAAGACTTGATAGAAAAATACTGAGCATTTCACTGTCCAGTCGCCTACATCTAATACGCTCACCAGTGTGGCTTGGAAAGAAGGCTGAAGGATAGAAGTTAAGGGGCTTTTTACCGTTCGGCACAGGAATTGTTACAGGGGAGACAGAGGCAGGCCACCTTTACTCGGTCATTTGTTCTACTATACCTTGCCAATCACGGCCACAACTCTAATGTACTTTGGTGTACACTGCTACCTGAATGTCGATTTTGGCGCTTGTCCCTGACCTATTCAATCATACCCATTAACTGTCATTGACCCAAGCGGCACTCACTTTCAACTTGAGAAAATGTCTCTATTTCTCTCTCTCCCCCTTTGGGAAACTTTGTAGAATTTTCGCAAAATGGCGTGCCTTTGGGTCAGCTGAAGTTTCATTGCTGTAGGTTACTTCTTTGAAAGTGCTATAGAATAATGTCAAATAAGATGACATATAACTTTGATTTCCATTAGAAATTCCTAATAAAGCCGGGCAGTGGTGGCACACGCCTTTAATCTCAGCACTCGGGAGGCAGAGGCAAGCGTATCTCTGTTAGTTCGAGACCAGCCTGGTCTATAAGAGCTAGTTCCAGACAGGCTCCAAAACCACAGAGAAACCCTGTCTCGAAAAACCAAAAAAAAGAAAAAAAAAGAAATTCCTAATAAATAAAAGCCTACAGTTAAAAAAAATCTATGGATTTTATATCTACGTAAATACAATGCTTCTTTTTATTTTAACGCTAAACAACATGTGTGGGAGGAGGTGGTCAAAATCACACTCTCATGTATAATATGCCCACGCTGTTTCTTTGGTGCTACTGTAGATATGAACACGGCACCACCAGGCAGCATACGAGGCATGGCTTGTGCTATTCATCCCCATTAGGCTCCTTCAGTAACCAGATGATTCGTTCTGTGCTCTTGTTCAAGTCTTCAGTGATGGATAATATTGTATTGGCCACCTAACTAGCAATCAAATTAATTTGAGCTTGCTTAATCTTTCTTTCAAAGTCACATATGGTTTTATTATTATTCCATTCCTTCCTATGTACTTAGATACGCCCCCAAAACAATGGGAACCCGAGCTGAAAAATCAGAGCATATACTACTTCCAAGTAGCATATGAGGTCTGTTATGATAAATAGTTTCCAAAGGACTTAAAGGTGTGCCATGTGTTTGTATATGGATACAGGAACTGTGGAAGCAGGATGTGGTGGGAACCGGGTTGAGAGCACTTGCTCCCATCTCTAGTTCTCGGATGATGATTTAAATCTATGCGCTATTTATCACTCCATTATGGTATGGTTAAAACTCTTACCTTTGAGTCTGGCTTATTTAGCACTATAATTGTAACATTCACTTTTTCTGAGTTCTCGTTTTACGTAATATTTATTACTTTTATAAGACACACGCTAGACTTAGTGCATACAGCCCATAGGATCTTTATATAAGTGCCATCCCTTTTGTGTGACCTCGTGCCCGTGTAGAAACACATTACCAGCATCCCAAGAGTTCCCATCTCTCATAATCAAAGCTCTCAACATTATAGATTAGCATTTGGACCTCATTTTATTTGCAGCTTTTCTTGTTCATTGCTGAGCAACTGTCCCCAGTTAGGGATACCATTGCTGAGACAAAACACCACAGCCAAAAACAAGTTTGGCAGGAAATGGCTTATTTAGCTTACAGGTCTACAGCATTACTGAAGTCAGGAGAGGAACTCAAGCAGAGCTGGTACTGGAGGCAGGAGCTGATGCAGAGACCAGAGAGGGGTGCTTCTTAGTGGCTTGCTTTCCATGGCTTGCTCAGCTTGTTTTCTTATAGAATCCAAGATTACCAGCTCAGGGGTGGCCCCACCCACAGTGGACAGGGCCCTCCCCCATCAATCACTAATTAATAAAATGTCCTACAGTCTTGCTTACAGTTCTGTCTTATGGAGGCATTTTTTAACTGAAGCTCCCTCCTCTCTGATGACTTTAGCTTGTGACAAGTCGACATAAAACCAATCAGAACGGCAACTGTATAATAGTTCTGATTCTGAATCTCTCAACACACACACACACACACACACATGCACATTAAATTCCTTAGGATATATCTTATTTCTTGTTTTTTAAGGAATATAATAACAAAGGTCCCTGCCCAGTAATATCACATTCATCATCAAACCCTTATTTCTTCTCACTTACTACTGGTCAGACTTCAAAGTTCCTCTAGTCCGCGTACCTACTAACTCCATCAAGGGACCATTGTTCTCGTCTGTCACCAGCTGTCCTCCAGGTTGCCCTGCTCAGGGTCCACCTTCCTTCACCATCTCAGAGGGAGATGTGTTTTATATGTTTCAAGGTGGAATTCCCCCTCCTCCGTGATTCACTGCACAGCTGTGCTTTTTTGAGTCTTAAAAGAAAATTAAAATCCCCTATGTATTAATTAGAGAGAAAGGCTTCGTTTCCTAAAGCCTCCTTGAGGCACTCACAAGCACTTTTCTCTCATTTCTCTGGGCTGATTTAGTTGCCTTTTTCCCCTTTAAATATTGAAATCTAGCAATGATGCCTCCTCTTGCTTTGGGCTCTGCATCCATCAAGTTTTACTGTACGAGACTCAGTTGGAGACTTGTGTCGCCTGCTCTACGGCTCTTATTCCTGTTCACTTCTCTCCCCTGTGTTCAGAGTAGAACGCTGTCTGGGGCTCCCTTCTCTGCTGCTCACACTGGTGCTTCCTCCTCTGTCTAAAGGCCAGCTCGGATGATGCAAATGCGAAGAGTCTCTTTCCCAGAGGATGGCCAGAATGGCTATCCCTGAGGAAACAGCTTGAGTGCTTTGAAGAATTTAAAGAGTCGACACTCTAACGACATCTCGCATTCGTGATAAAGTTGAACTCTGGGGACACAGAATGTTACAGATGATGAAGCTCTTGATGGGGATACAAGGAACAAATGTTCTTTGCTCAGGCAAGCGCTAACTGGCCGTGGGACTATTGCAGGATAATCTTCCTTTATCTGCAGGATTATTAAAGGAATTCACAGTGGGTACCGGAGGTGTGCATTTAGACCTTCAGAGGATACATAAGAAATGCCCAAGGCTGCAATTTCATGCCCTTAAATACAAGAAGAGAAATTCTTCAAAATTAGCCAGGGTTATAAAGATACATGGAAGCTTTATTGAAACACACTGCATGGAGAGATGGGTTTTAAAATGTCAAGCAAGATTATCTTCAGGGTCTTTAATTTCTGATATTTTTGAAGAGTATCTCTAGGCTCCTTTAATTTCTTGAATGGCTAGCTATATCTGTCATTCTTTTGGGGGATACTGTGCTCTCAGGCAGTCTGCTATATAGTTTATGATGCCCTCGGGATTCTGGCCTCTCTAGTTTCACCCATGAAGATAAACACTTCCTTTTACTCAGCAAGAAATATAATAATAAAAAAAAAAAAACAAAGAGCTGAGTTCATTGAGAAAGAAGCCTGACCCTCCCACCCAGGGCCCCAAACTTGGCTCTCTCAGAATTACAACCCTGACCGAGCATGGGGTGGAAGTAAGTTCCAAGCCTTTTAGGTTCTGCGCTAATTGTTGATGGGTTCCAGGACATACAACCCCCAAAATACTTCAAGCTAAAAGAATTCGAGAAAACAGCAGAAGCAGGAAGGTTATTCTGACCTACGCTCCACCCTTCTTCCCCAAGCAGACCATAAAATCTAGGAAGGATTTATGTGACCTTCCCTGGAATAGGTTGCAGACCCTTCCTTCCGGAAGAGGGGCTCTTATCTCAGAAGGCACAAGGCAAGGACAGGAATCCAAACAAACGAAATGCCTTGCTAAATGCCCTGTTTATTATCGTTGGATCATCTGCTCTCTTTGTCCAATTGTATTTCTTCAAGATGTTGCATTCTTTACCATGACTAGCATAAAAACAAACACGTAGCTATTTCTTTGGTCCTTAACTCCTTTATAACGGTCCTGGTGTCACTTTTTTTTTTTTTTTTTTTTTTTTTTGGTTTTTCAAGACAGGGTTTCTCTGTAGCTTTGGTGACTGTCCCGGAACTAGCTCTTGTAGACCAGGCTGGCCTCGAACTCCCAGAGATCCGCCTGCCTCTGCCTCCCGAGTGCTGGGATTAAAGGCCTGTGCCACCACC